GCCTTACTTTGCCCATGCAAAGCATCTTTGCATGTTTGGCATGTGTCATAGTGGCATTTGGTTAGACACCCATATGTGTCTTTCCTTTGATGATCAAGCTCTTAATAGCACATTCAATGCCCAGGATGACTTAATGTGCCTCTACAAAGGGAAAAGCTAGCAAAGCTTGGCTCCTGTCTGCTCAGACAAAAGGTGAATCACAGGAGTAATCTCTCCTGCTCCTGTAGTTCATTTTGTGCTCCTTCCCAGCTCTGCAGCCCAAACCACAGTCCCTATCCCCAAGTACAAGGTCCCTGCCAAGTGGTCTGCAGGAGAGAGTCCCACTGGATGTAGGTTATCCTGGAGCTCAGAGGCTTCTGCTCTTTCTCACTGTGAGGACAAGGAGGGGATTACTGAACTAGGAGCTCTATTTCCAGCATGGGTTAGGGCTGTAGCCACAGTGACCACACTGATCCCCTGGGTGAGAGCCAAATCCTGCTCTGCCAAGGCCACCTCATCTCTGTGTGGCTGTGCCCATGAGACAGAACTCCAGGTGATGCCGAGTGATAATAAAATAAATGTCTTTATTTTTAATAGATGGACAAAACAGACCCAAAATCAGACAGTGTTTTCCTGAATTGCATGGGCACTATTGAATACAATACAAATGAAGTCAAAACATATATCTCTATATTATGCTTCCTATCTGCTTTGTTAGGTATAGTCTTAATATAACATTTCTGACATAGACAAAAATATACTTTTTTTTTTAACAACAGCCACAAATACTGCCCTGATTAATAGCAGATGTACAATAACTTACAGTCTAACTGCACATGGAACTTGATCAATACACTTGAAGGGCAGAAGGAAAAATTAATAACAGGTTGTTTTTTTCTATGATACTTCTATTTGAAATCCTAAATTGTTGTACTATATGAAAATCTGACTTTTACTTTATTTGTTCCACTTAATGTTTACATTCAGTTCAGGTTCACAAAAGTATGTTTTATTTATAATACATATACCATCCCATATGGACAAATATAGATGAAATAACTTTTTTGACATGTCAGCTATGTTATTAACCTTGACTTTATGAACACATCTCATGCAGAGGAGGTAAAAAACCCTGTCAAATAAATGCTATTCACAAGTGTTAAGAATATGAAAGCAAAATGTATGACCATGATATGAATATTTTACGTAGAAATTGTAGGCTCAGAAACAATAACCTCCGTGTCTGAAAATGAGCTGTTTGCTTCACTGATTATAGATCCAATTTACTGCACAGTACTACAGCCTACAAATTGCAAAAGTGGAGAAGATACATCTGATAATTCCTCTGAGAACAAAACCTACTTGAAGAATCACGTCCTGTTGGCATTTTGCTAGTGCACAACTTAGTTGTATCCTGGTCCATTTTTCTTCTACTCCAGCTATCAATTACAGATATGGCCTTTGGTTATATGAACAGCTCTGTACAAATTTAATGGTAGGATAGCTGAACTAAGGCAATAAAACCTGTAAACAGACTTTGCATGGGGCTATTTAGCTTTTGTAGTTGTCCCATCTACTATGCAGCCCACACTGCAACCATGGCAGGCGTTGTTGGACTCACACAAAGACACACACAGAGAATTGCTATGTGGAAAGCAGAGTTATAGTCACAGGATCAACAGTCATCCATGTCACTACTCTCCTTTGCATGCTACAGCTTCCATGGTGTGCTACGTGAAAAAGTGCAATAACCTTTCAGTCTCCGCAGGGAGGACTGAAGTTCTTCATTGGAACCACTTTCCATTTAGGGAAGGCAGAGTTCCACCTAAGCAGGAATACTGTGCAAAATCACATGAATTTCACAAAGTTTGTCTACAGGATAAAAAGTGTAACATATTCTGATAATATTGAAAGCATCTGGCTCGAAATATTTGGGCTAACACTTATTTTATTTTCACTTAACTTTTTTTTTCTTGAACATTTTCAAAGCATTTACATATTTATGGCAACAAAGGAATACAAAAGAAAAGGATTTTTATTTTTTAATCAAAATTTCTTAAATGATTCCAGCTGAATCCCATTCTCTTTTCTTTTTTTCTCTCACAAATAGGCATTTTGAAATAAACAAGACAGAAATGTTGCTATATTCAAAGCATCTGGTCACTCTGCAGCCCTTCATAATGAAATTCTAGCAATTCACAGACAAAACTGAGGTAAGAGGAAATTTTTTATGAAGACATACAGGTGGCTGTAAAATCATAGAATCATAGAATGAACAAGGTTGGAGGAGGCCTCTAAGATCATTGAGTCCAACCATTAACCTGTCACTGCTGGAACACCTAAACCCTAAACCAGATTCTCCAGTGTCAGATCCAAATGCCCTTTCAACACTTCCAGGAATGGTGACTCCACCACCTCCCTGGGCAATATTCCAGTGCCTGAACATCCTAACAGTGAAAACATGTTTTCTAATATCTAATCTGAATCTCAAATGAGATCCTCTAACTTAATTTCTGACTGCAGCACAAGACATTGGCTATGCAAGCGGGCAAAAATGTGGCTTGATATTTTCTCTTAGGAAGGGATTCAAGCTAGAGGATCTGGTCTGGAAATTGACAGTCATTCAGTAGTGGCTCTGTTCTCCCCTCTCCTTCTTCTGTACAATCTCTTCCCTCCTCTCTCTTCTGTGGTCCATGGGGGAATGAATATCACTGGGCTCACGTTTGGTTTTTGAGATACTCAGCACCCTGAATTTCATTGGTGGCTTGTTCTCTCACCTTGCAGGAGTTTTTTATTTCTTTGATATATTGGGTCTTCTGGGTTTTTAGAATCATAGAGTCATAGATTCGTCAAGGTTGGAGGAGACTTCTAGGATTTTTACAGAGAGAGTGAGCAGGCATTGGAATGTGCTGCCCAGGGAGGTGGTGGATTCACCATCCCTGGAGATTTTCAAGCTGAGACTGGATGCGGCACTTAGTGCCATGGGCTAATAAACATAGTAGGGTTGGACTTGATGATCTTGGAGGTCTTTTCTAACCTGGTTGATTCTATGATCATCGACTCCGACCATTAGCCTGCCACTCTGCTGTAAGATTAGTGCAGGTCCTGATTTAGTTCCCTCTAGCACACTCAGTATGTGTTAGCCCAGCAGTACCACAGGTCATCCTGTGTTTTCAGAACTGAGATGTGGTGCTATTTTTAAATGCAGTGTAAGGAGAAAAGAAATCAACATCTCTGAAATTAATTATCTCTACGTATAAAAAATATATATGCTGTTAAGACTCCACAAAAGGAGCAAAAACATATCTAAGGATTCAACCTTGTGAAAGCTTATGTCAGCATTGAATGCACAAGTTGATGGCTTCTTCCTTTAGCAGCAAAACCTATTCTTACATCTCCTGTCCCCCAGTGTAGCTCCTCTTGCCACGAGTGTTAAAGAAGAGATTTCACCAGTGACTGGCAGCATTTCAACTGAACATTTTGTGTCATGCGTAGATTTAATAAAGAATCATTGGATCCTAACTCTTAGTTATACAGAAACTCTTGATTATACAGACGCCTAGCAACCAGAGCTCCCACTGTGAAAGGCACATACCAATGGGGACAGACACAATCATCTCGGCCATGGGCAAATGGAAACGACACTGAGTGTTCCCTATTGGCCTAGGCAAAGTTGGAAGAGACCTCATCTCCCTGCTTTGCCACTTTTGGCCAGCATTGCCATTCATGAGTGAAGTCTTGTCTGCATCTGACCACTGCTGGTGCTCTGTGGTGCTACCACGATGGCCAGGAGGACAGACATTAATGAAGGACTCCAGTATTTAGTGGAAGACAACACTGTGCCTTTCATTCTGCTTGTGGGTTCAGCTTTCCTTTCACTTCCCCTCCAACCTGCTTTTGGAGGCAGACACAGATATGGAAAGCTGTTCAGCAAACCTGTTTTTTTTGAGAGATTTTTGAGTAAAATGTGATTTTCTATGGAAAATCTCCACTTTCCAGAGTAATCCCAGCAAGACCAAGCCAGAAGATTGTTAATATCTTTGAGAATGCTTTTTATATTAATTGAAAAGTAGGAATTTTCTCTATGGAAAACCCTCTCCTCTCTCTTTTCAAGCCTTGACTCTCTTTACTTTTCAATATTTATTCCATTGTTTTGGTTGCTTAGTGTCAGATTTCTTTGCTCAGCGTTCATTTTGATCATAAGTCAAGACAAGGCTTCTTTTCTCAACACTGAAAATTTTTTTTTTAGAAGAGTCATTTTTCACAAGCTGAATTTCAACTCCAATTATTGCTATAAGAATTTTGGTGACAGCCACTAACCACAGGAAAAATAAAAGAGAACACCTAGAGTAATATACTTTGCTGAAGGTTGTCTTGCATTAGGCATAACATAATTTTAAACTGGTGAATTCATTTTAACTTTTCAAAGTTAATATATGATATTTAGCACTCCTATAAGAAATTTATTACTATTTGTGCATTTGGCTGTCTCATACAAATAATACAATACTAGATTCTAATGTTTAAATTTCTTTATGTGGCAAAAAAATGACCAGAGCAAAATCCCAGTTACCTGTCCTTGCTCAAGAAACTAACTCTTCAGTAATAATCACTTATAGCTGTGACAATATATTTTCACTTAACGCCAATAAAAAGTTGACTGATAATATTTCAGTGACTGCATTATAATCTCTTCAGACCATGTCCTAGGTTAATAAATAACTGCTGCACATTTCCTGCTACATATATTTTCAATTATAAATGTTTTTTAATTACACAGTATATAGTTCTGGGTGGAAAGAATGAGATCTGAGTGTATATTTTGGTAAACGCTCTACGATCTAATCCAACATGTTAGATAATAGCAGAAAAGGGTTCCTCCCATGGGATGCTCTTGCTCCTAGAAACAACTTTAAGAATGTGCAGAGGCATTTTATTCCCACTCCTTGTATTTCTTCTGATAAAATGCCTCTTACTCTTCTTTGTAGAATAGCCTCTTTTGCCCTTGGTTGCCAGATTTTTTAATTGTCTTCAGTGTTGGAGAGCTCTGGACTCGAATCAACATAGTTGAAGGCTTCCTTGTTCGTGAAAGTTGAGCTCAGAGTTAGACTGTGTCGTGGATTCACAGGTGCAAGTTCATTTAATACAATATTGTCACTTTTTACAAGAGTTGTTTTGTCCATGTGTTCTCTACTGTACCTGGCAACAACAGCATCAAGGAAGTCCAGCTTTGGTGGCAAAGTCCCACTTTCAAATAAGTATTTGGCTAAGTAGGAGACTATAACGTTAGTAAAGAAGGAGGTGAGCATAGCAAGAGTTTTAAAAGGGAATCGCTGGACATAGATATTGTTATCATCTTGATACCAGCCAGGATAGAAGATCAAGGGCTGAAGGTAGAGGTAAGGTTCTCCTCCAGTTATTCTGAGGAAAAGGCCAAATAAGTATCCTGCAATGGCACCATAGGTGTTGGTTCCTTTAATAAACAACACACAGAGCAGCTGGGGGAATATGATGATATAAACAAGGTCAGAGCTGAGGTACCACAGGCCATACACTGACGAAGCCAGCAGTGCCATTGCTGTTGCTGATGCTCCAAACAGAAGAACAGTGATTCTCATGACCCACACAATTTCTCTGTCTGAAGCCTGCAAAGAAACCAGCAGTGTTATGTGGCTTTTGCTGTGGTGATACATGTATGCTGACATTCATGCACAGACAGTATGAAATACTGCATTGTGAAAGGATATTTGGTATGATTTATTCAATGATATTTACAAACTTAATATCTCTATGTTCATGTCAAGCTCAGAGAAAAAACCTCAAGGGTTATGGTTGTCATTCCCAAAGTCATTAGATGTTGAACATGAGGAAAAGTTTGCTAATGTGTCAGAGAAAAACCAGCAGTGTTGGAAATAACTTTGAAATAGAAGTACGATATGGCTCAACTAGAAAAAAGCTGTCAGCATCAGAATTTCTTCTCCTTTTCCTAAGAAAACTCCAACTTGCTAAACCATTCTGTTGTCAAATGATTCTCTGATGAATGAATAATTAGAAAAATGTTTCATTTTGTTAAGGATTGAAGTAAAACTTATGGCTGAATTGCAGGGCCATGAGAACTCTTGAAAGTTGCCCTGAGCTAGCTCTTTCACCTCTGGGAACCATAAATATTGTTATGATTTTCTCTTTGTTCAACATACTGTTAGGAACTAAATGCTGCACTTTTCTAGTCATAGGCAGGAACATGAGCAAAGTGTTTCATTATAAAATTACTGTCTATGTATCACTTCATTAAGGCCTCACCCAAAATTTCTCTAAAAGTAGAAAGGAAAATGTTATCTCACATTTTGCCGAAAGGAAAGTTGGTAAATGTTCCGAGCAAACATAGAACTTGCTGATAAGATTGAAGAGTCAGCTGAGGACATCACAGCAGCAGAAACAGCACCAAGGCCAAAGAATGAGATATAGACTGGGCAAAGGTACTGGAGCACAATTGGTAGAATCATATCTGCTTCTCTTTTACTCTTGGGGTCAGGGACACCATACTCAGTCTGGTTCCAAGCTGCAATATAGACACCAGAATGTAATTAGTAACATTAGCATCATCAGCTACAGCATCTCTTGACTTCAAGCTATTCATATTGCCACAGTTCATTCACGCTCAATGACCAAACTGTTATGAGGGACAGACTGATGGCATCTCAGAGATGCAGTGTCCCACTGGTTTCTGTTAGGCAGATTTAATTCTATTCAGCATTTTTACTTGTCTTTAGAATAAGTCTGACCACAGCCTGTGGCTATCCCATAAAAAGTTTAATATTAAAACTTCAAATTGCTCATAAAGGTAATTTCACTCAATAAAATAAGGCTGGGGTACATGTTTCTTTGTGATGTGTATAACTACTATTTTGAATTACAGACAGAGTGCAAAGCAATGTGTGAAACATTTCCAACATTTAACTACATGGTTATTGTGAGGATCACTCTCACTATGAGAAAGACCTTGACAAGGATATTTTGGTCAAGGTAAGAAATTTCTGACAAATCATAGAACCATTTAAGTTGGAAAAGGCCTTTAAGATCTTTGAGTCCAACCACTAGCCCAGCACTGCCAAGCCCACCACTAAACCATGTCCTCAAGTGCCATATCTACATGTCTGTTAAATACCTCCAGGGCAACCCTTTTGGTGAAGAAAGTTTTCCTAATATTCAATCTATACCTTCCCTAGTGCAACTTGAGGCCATTTTCTTTTGTACTGTTACCTGTTATTTGGGACAAGACCCAACTTGCTACAACCTCTTCTCAGGTAGTTGTAGGGGGTGATAAGGTCTCCCCTCAGTCTCCTTTTTTCCAGACTAAACAACCCCAGCTCTCTCAGCTGCTCCCCATTATTACTGTTTTATGGCCTCTCAATAAAAAAAGGCCACTGAGGCACTGGAGCGAGTCCAGCCAAGGGCAACGAGGGCAGCAAAGGGCTGGAAAACCTGTGGGATGAGGAAGGGCTGAGGGAGTTGGGTTTGTTTAGCCTGGAGAAGAGGCTCAGGGGTGACCTCCTGGCTCTCTGCAAGTCCCTGCCAGGGTTGGAGAGAGGTGGGGGATGTGTGTCCTGCCATGGCTGCAGGGAGAGGACTAGAGGGAATGGCCTTGAGCTGAGCCAGGGCAGAGTCAGATTGGATGTGAGGAGAAATGTTTTCCCTGTGAGGGTGTTGAGGCACTGGGATATTGCCCAGGGAGGTGGTGGAGTCACCATCCCTGGGAGTGTGGAAGAGGCGTCTGGATCTGACACTGGAGGATCTGGTTTAGGGTTTAGGGGCTCCAGCAGTGACAGGTTAATGGTTGGACTCGATGATCTCAGAGGTCTCCTCCAACCTTGATGGTTCTATGTTAGGCCCAAATAAAAGTACCAGAATCTAACTCAAGCATCAAATAGATATATTACATCTGTAGGTACCCTGAATGCACAAAATGATTTAATTTCATCCACTGGGGTAGAAACAATTTCCTTTGGGAAAAATATTTTATAATACAATTTTTCTGTGTAGTCTCCTTTTGAAGAAGTCATGAGTTGATTAATGATGCCACATGGCTATTTAGCCTATATGTCACCTATATCCAACCTGAGTTTTGTTTTCACACACTTATTGCACTGTTCATTTTCCATTTATGGTTGCTACCGATTTTTAATCCTTTACCTGTAGATGCTCCAATTGCACCAATAAGTACTGCAGGGATAGCCATGACGAGACAGCCAAAAGCAGCCAGGAATGACAGAACTTGAGCATATGTGGCAGAAGATGAGGAAAGGACTCTTTGGAAATATGCTTGCCATGGGATTCCTCCTAATGTCTGCAAACACAATGGACAGGATGCTGTCAGTGGATGGTTTTGCTAACACCATATAGAAACATTACTTGAATGCTGAAAGCTATGTTGTTCCTTTTAGATTCATTTATTATTTCATCAGCCAGTAATTACTGCAACTTTCATTCTCACAAGCAATGCCAAACCTGTGTAAGTCTACTTAAATCCCATTCTTCTAGGCAAGTTATTCCTGTGCACAATTAGCAACAACACTTTGCACTTACATAATCTCTGTAATCCCCAAGATTTGTAAAATGTACAAATACCTGACAATGCCTCATTAAAGGTTATAAAATACTATGGTCATGTTTCATATTTGAAAATTTTGCCCTCCAGTAACCTTCCCCCACCAAAATTGGATTTGATTCTGATAGGATTTGAAAGCAAGATTTTATCTTCCTTTGTGAATGCACGTGGTCATTTAAACAAAGCAAGACACTCTGTATTGACATTGAACTCAGAATCTGAAATATTATTCTCCTACTGCCTTAAGCAAATACAATAGCAACAGAAATTGAAGACAAAGCAGCAAAAGAAAGTTTTCTTTTATGGTGGCAACACCTCTTTTTTTATTTGGGTATCTAACAGTGAAGATCCTGATGAGACTTAAAATTACATCTGCAAAATATGACACTAAAGAGTATTACCAAAGGTTGAAAAATCAAGTGCTGACAATTCTGTCTTGAGAGCAGGATTTGAATTGTCTCCATGAAGAAAATAATTGCCTGTTACTAAACAGCACTGAAAGAAAACAAATCAAATTGCTCACTAAATGTGCACAGCCCAGTTCTACACACCAAATGAGGCAGGAGGCATTTGGACCAGACAGTATGTACACAGGTGTTTCATATATGCTTCATGCACACACAGGGACTAAATTAATGTTTCACAGACAAGTCCAATTTTGACTTGTTATTTATGACTATTTTCTTTTGCTGCCTTAATAATTTTCCTTTAACGAAGCTTTCCAAGAATGTGTAAATTTCTTGAGCTATAATGAAACGAAGAAGATGAAAAGAAGTTTGTCAGAGTTTGGCAACATCAGACCTTTCCTTTGGTCATCAACCCAGATGAAACCTTTGGGCTTACCAGAGAGAATACAGACACTTGAGCTAATGTCATGCTTTGGCTCTCTGAGAGGAAGCTGGAGAAAATAATATGTTTTAATAGCCCACTTATCAGAAAACCCTGATGATTTTTGCTTGAGATGATTTTTGCTTGAGATGATTTAAAAAAAACCTACAGGGAAAGTAATCCCAAAGTACAACATGATAATGAAACCAGTGCAGATTTGCATAGGGACACTGAGAATGGAAAATGTTTGCATGTGTTTCTAGACCTTGTAATGGAAAGTACTTAATAACCACCTAATCCTGAGTGTAATACAGAGGTATTAAATAATGAAAGCTCTTGGCTCCTTCTGGCAAGTGTGCACATATGAATTCATCCATCCTTCCATCCATCTCTGCACAGCTTTTTCTACTTCATCTATACCTGAGGCATATTTAATCATTTGTATAACATATTTATTGCCTTCTGCAACATATAAATTCCTCTGCCAACAATGACATCAGTAAAGCATTTGCTGCAGACTTCTATTTAATTTTAACAAGTCAGCTCTTTCAGCCTGATGATATTTAAATTGCATTCCTGGCAATGCTGACGGATATGTCACTGAAATCATTCAAATGTGCAGAAATATTGAGCAGGAGTCAAGAGGGTAAAAGTTTTCAGTTTGCTGGAAACTCTTAACTAGGCTCTATTATTTTCAGCTGTCACAGTAACAGAGTGTGAGTGCTTAAATGCTTCATTCCTTCACACAAGTCTCCACTTACCAGTAAAAAGAAATTGTCCAACCATGTGTAAATGTCAAGTGAATTGATAGATCCAAGCCAAGGTGCTTGGTACACCTGGTGCACAGCTGTGAGCCCAATGTCTGTTACTGCAGGATGGGACATCGCAAAGGGGACACTGATCCACTGCAACCAAAGAGAAACAATCTGTTCAGGCTTAAAGAAGACATTCCTAATCTCTGAAATTTGAATGTTAACACTGTCAAATATTAACAGTTTTCTTCTTCTTGTATGCTACAGATTGAATGCAAAACTGCCAAGCTGACTTGCAGAAAAGTCAGGTCATGTGCAGGTGGAACACCTCTGAAATCCAGAGAGCTTGGGAGTGGATAGCTTACATCAGTCCTGGAGAGTGTGAGCAGAGACTTAATCAGTGTAAATCACCAAATCAGCCGGAAAGTCACATTTAGACATCATTCATTCT